TATTGAACTGATCGATGGGTTGCCCGCCTCGCCAAAGTCGAACTGTTTCACTAAATGGTTTGAGCGTATGAATGTCGGTGAATATTTCGAGGAATCGTAATGCTTATTTTCGTGTAACAATCAAATCGTTTTGGGCATCCGGAAACGTTTTGCTCAACCCTCGTATGTTCTGCACCATCCTGACTATCAGGGTCATGTTCAGAAGATAACTGGAAATCATCCTCACCGAGCAGTAACTTTCCGCTTGGTTTATTCTTTGGAAAATCCCCAACAAACGAACGTTAATTAGCAAGTTCAAAATTGAAACAGTGTCGTATAAATTTTCGATGTGTTGAAGTCTCCACCCTAAACTTTTTCTGTCACTTTACCGCTGTTAATGCATGTTAATAGAAAAACAAATGTCCCAAGCGATGCCCAACCCGTTAACGCAACAAAACAGAAATTTTATGTACAAATCATTTTCTTTGGAATGCAACCAAACTGTACAGAGTAATAACTTCCCACTCAGCCAAGGACAATGTTCCCAAATAACGTGAATGTCTGCACGCTTCGTCCTGTTCGATCCGCTTACTTACGTGATCATATGCACCAGGTTCACCATCTGCGACAAGGTTAGAATGGCGACCATCGTTATCCACTTGATTCGGATAGCACTCTAACGCCTTCATTCGCACCAATAGATCTCGAGACGATTCTCGTCCAACATACCCCGAATGATGTTGAGCGAAAAAGTCGGCGAACCCCATTGGTGCCATGACAGGAATCAAATTCTGTTCCATTGCCAAGTGATTCAACAGAGGTGGATAAACAAGGAATTCGGGACAATCAACCACACCTTCTAGATGGAAATCATAACTTGAGCCGAACAGCGGGAACTGGAGCGAATCCGTTTTCCCCTTCTGTTTATCTCCTTTTATGACGGAGTAGGAGCTGGAGGGGAACCTGATAGTGTGTATAGAATTTCCAAATTCAATTTTGTCGAGTGAACCTCCATCAATTCCTGGAGACTGACCAGAAGATTCGTAAGCTTTGGTTGCTCTGCGAACCAGTTCGTATGCGTTTGGGATGGTCGCAATAAAATATCCCCCGGGATGTAGAGAGTGGCTCACATTAGCCAAAAATGTTCGCGCCTGTAAGCATAAGAAAAGCAACAAAAGAGACTCGTTGAAGGGTTTTAACTCATCGAACATCGATCAAACAATCGTCGAAAGGGAGTGATATATGGATAACCTGTGTGAAAAAACTCCAACATTGTTCAGTTACTAATCGGTCAACGTAAACCGTTATCCGGGAAGGTTAGATAACTCTCCTGAGTCATGATCTGTGAAGGGGAGAGAAATAAAACGCTTTTGGGTTTGTGGCGATGCGAGTTTCTAGCTCACTACGCACATCGTTGAGAAGTCTCCACAAAAACAAAACGTAGGTAGTACCATAATAAGCCTCAATTTTTAGAGGAAATGCAGCTCGAGACAAAGCTTTGATATGGATTGCATCTAGAAGATGTCCCTCCTCAAATGATCCAAATCGGACGCAACCTCCGACAGGTTCTCTAACAATTCTACTAGTTGCAATCGGAGATGGTGCATATCCTGTAAAAATTTAAACGTATATTATACAACAGTTTCAGCTTCAGTACGCCAAGGTCTTATTTGCTTCATTCCAATATTATTTTATTGTATCTGAAACTAAGCTGGAAGATCAAATCCCTTATGGTTAAAAGAACATCGAGTCCGATTACCTATCTTATTTTTTGGAGTTCGGAAAATTTGTTTCAACGGATTACGTTTGTTCACGCAGCAATTAGGTGAGACGCTTTCTCCAATGTGGCGGACAAGTGGTTGTATTCGTTAGAGTAAAATTATCGATACCTATATGTGGTACTCGCCAAAGAACTATCAAGATATGATGCGAAGACAAGCATGATTTTCACCAAATCGTGCACTAACCTGTTTCATACTCTCAAAGGCATAGTGAAATGAAAACTGGCAGCTGACCAGATCAAATCGACCCTGTTGATTCCGCATTTTTTCTCTCAAATCCGCAGTACAATCGGCAACGTGGAAATCGGCTGTGTACAATGAACGACGTTTTCGATATAGTTGTTCATAACGTTGGCGGCACACATCGATTGAGGCACTGGATATATCAATAAACGTTACATGTCTGGTATCGGTTTGAGCCCATTTCAGTTGATCCCCACCTTTGCCACAACATAAGTCCAACACATACGCACCCCGATTGCGTCCAAGTTTCTCCAAATACTGGTTGATAAATACGCTTTTGATCCAGTTATTAAAATTTCTCAAGTGATAAATCCGAGTCTGTTGTCGATGCGCCAACGAATTCGCAGAAGCGGATCGGGCATTGGAATCATAGAACTTGACAACACTCGCCGCGTTCGTTAAATCTGCGTTCGCCTGAGTCGATTCGCCAGTGGCAGCCGTATCCACGGCAGTCTGCTGCGCTTCTAGCTGAAACAGGGAAGATATTGTTGTTTTCAATTCAAATGAAAAACCTGTTGCGCTAAGCGTAACAAATTCCTGAAGCCAGAAACTCAACGGAAAGTTAAATCAGATAAAGAAGCCATACCTAGGCCATGAAACAAATCGGGTAGCATGCATATTCTGAGTAAATAACAGATACAAGCGATGTAATCGGGACACTTCGTTTTCTGAGTCATTGGATGGTACAAATCATATATCGGGAGTTCGCTGGCATATTATGTTGAGAGAAGCTGACAAACGATCCAATATCATATAATGGGGCGGAACACATCGATCAAGATCATAAACAAAGTGGTGGGAGGAGTATTCAGAAATTAAAAGTATTGGATTAATAAGATGCAAATGACCTTACGTACTATGCGTCAGTCGTGGTACTGCTGCTGTTACTCTCACAACAATCCCTACATTTTGGGGGGAGTTGATTCGTGAACTTTTAAATACGTGTAACCCAATTGTTTCCGACTCACACTCGAATGTCCTCAACTGCACTAAACTAGTTATTTCACTAAACGTCCCTCCCTCAAAACTTTACCGCTTCTTCAACAGTGAGAAGTCTCACCGTAACAGCCAGGAATGTACCTATTCCGTGTATCTCTTAGAACATTAGGTCAAGTCGTGAGATTGCTTTTGGTGGGGGACCATGTTCGAATGTTGGACTGTTTCTACAGCTGGTGGGAAAAACCTGGTTAGTGTAGTGAGTAGCTGGAAAATTGATTTCAAGCCTCTCAAAGTGTGTCAACTGTCTCCGGGAATTCCAAGTGCGATCGGGAAAATTGGCTCCAAGATGTGCGAGCTGCAGCTAAAAACTAAAAACCAGTACACTTGATCTAGACACAAGTGAACAGCATTCCTCAAATAACACCCAGCTACACTGAGCTAGGCTAGTCCAATGGTTTCGTTCTGAATGCCCAATAATATGCTATGCATTGTGCAAACTAAAGCTTTCCATCAAAAGGCCCATCGCATATCACCGACCTTCTTTACCTTTTGTTTTGATTATTTTTATTTCTATCTGCGTGACGAACAATGTACATTTTTAACTAAAATGTAAGCATATATGCTTACACAAGTTACAAATACAATACAATACAATTCTATGTTGTTTTACCGAAACATTATATAGATATATATCGGTGCGGGTATGGTTGCATGTGTGTACAGCAGTTTGACCACCAGTTATAGGCACCTCCGCTGTCGTACTGCTCAAAACCACCAGATGAGGCCTTAAGTGGCTCGTACTAAAAGCCTCGGGGAATAAGTTGCCGGTTTCAATTCCTGAACAATGTCTTCTGGACAATTGGGTCTACTCCGTCCGCTATTCATCACACAAATGCTTGTGTCCACGCCACCATCCCAACGCAGACCCGAACAAAGGCGAACGTCACTTTGGACTGCTCTCAAAGAAACACGGGCTTAGGGCCGAGCCTGGTCAACGATACGACACATTGGAAACCGCCGGCCGTCCCTTTAGGTCATTATCGCGTTGGTGGAAACTAGAGAAAGCTGTATATGCTGCTTCCGAATGCGTTTATCAGTGACACCGTTGGTGGGCAATTCCACTGTATCAGTGTTTCAAACCAATAGGTGTTAATCGGATTCAGCTATCAATTAATTTTTAAAACAAAACAAGCACTTTCCTGAAGCGGTTTCGGTTACCATCGATAGAAAACCCATTGGGATGGAGTATAAAGAAAATTAGAACCACTAGAGAACTGAGGTAGATGAAGACTGTGAAACAACTGAGTGGGCGCATGAAAAACACTGCGACCCTCAACTTCGTCAAGCACTGTATCTGACCGCGGACTACCCTGACCAATACCGCCAAACAGAGCCACTCTACAAGCACCGAAGATAAATAAACATCTTTGGCGTATCTTTAAAGGTGAAACAGCAACAGAGTACAGAGCAGTCGAAAGACATTTCGACATCAAGAAAAAATCGAAGCTGTGGGTCTACGCTGGGAAGTTCTGTTTCAGAAATAGGCGCAAAGTGAAAGTACGGTTTATGCAACCTTGACTAAGTCTAAAACCAGTCAGACTCTAACGCGCGCATCGTTCACGTGCGGTAAACAATCAACGGAGTATGATGCTAGAAGCCATAATGATTGAATAAATTCCTCTACGGATTTTGTAAGGTGGCCTACCGCCATTATTGTAAACTCATGAGATAGCCGTCTTCCGTTGGAGGCTGTTCGTCCTTCCCTACTGAACCCAGGGGTTACGCCAACTTCGAGACCAAGGTTGGAACTTCATTCTGTAAAGCCGATGGGCCAGCTCATGCTCACATCTTTCGGGATAGCTTATTTCTCGACTAACATCCGTTGGTCAAAGCAGACTAATATAAATTGACAATAATTGTCTGGTTGAAAAAGTGAGCAAGTATGGTGTCGACGGAAGCCGACTGAAAACGATCCATCCGTCGCTCAAGCAGCTTTGTGGAATGTGAATCAGTGTGCCGTGTAGGCTACCAAAGTCGTTAGCCTGTTTGAATGTATGGGGGATGTACAAAGCGCACCTGACAGATTAACAAGTTCTGCTTCTCCGTTCGGCGTACATTGGACACCTTCAAACTACTAATTGATGCTGCACAACTGGGTGTTGCTGAATCCCATTCTGAGGCTAGAATTTCAGAAAGTAGAAGTCGACCACTACTCGAACTTTGGTAGCTGCGTGACTAACAACGGAGACACATCAAAGATGACCGCACGCATTTGCAAGGATCGAGCAGCGTACGCAGATCCAAAACAACTCTGGGGATGAAGTGACGTCGCGTACACTGTCTATACCGTATTATCAGTTCTGCTTTACGGCAGAGATTTAGAATTTGGTGGTAGATATCCGTCGCCTAATGGTTTCCTACAAAGGATGCTTACGTAGTCTAGCCCATGTGGGATGGAGTGAGTGGGTTAGTAACCCAGAAGTCATCGGGTGTTTGAGAATGCATCGAACGCGAGCGCATTCATGTCAAGCGAATGAGCTCCGCTGGTTAGGACACGTCTTGTGCCTACCTCACTCCGCCTTATTTGTAGTGGCCGCTATGGACTGGAGAAAGCCATGAAGAGGTCAGAGCGATTAGTAGAGAACACGTTTCTCGCCTTCCGGGTTGAGGTCCAAAGGACTTCGTAACTGGATGGCTGGAGACACTGAAGTAGTGGCCATCTTGCTACCACTTCTTATAGGTCCAGAATGGTTGAATTAGTTTGTATGTACAGTTGGACTATGCTATGTTTGTGTTGACCGTAGAAGCTCACTTTTTTCCGCCCGTAGAATAAGACCCAATCCGTATACTCCTTACACATTCTCACTTACCCTGTAAGCATTAAGAGTTTGGCAGCGGCTGGCAAAGTCCGCTTCAATATTTTACACTGTACGACGATGATGCCATCGGGCTCCTTTATGACCTAACACCTACTTCCGATGGACCCTAATTTAACGGAGAAGTATTCAATGGTTTTGTTTAGCCACATCTTTCGTCATCTACGTCCGAATGCTTGAAAGTAGTTGGTCTACAGAGTTCTGGTTTGTGGCTGGTCACTTTACGCCTTCACTTCTTGTAGCGCTTCTCTAGGGCTAAGCGGAAGAAGCCCTACCCTTTGCCTTCTCATAACGCAGTTGTTGGTGGCTCGATTGGGCCTCCAGGTACTTTTTTTATTACACACCTAGGTGTTACGAACAGCGGACGGGCGAACCCCACAGTCACAAGGGTCTGCTGTTCAGTGGTGGAGACTGATAACATAAGCCCCGGGACTTGGAGTGGCGAGCCACACAAGGCCCAGATAGGTTAGGCGTGGTATTGAACCAGACGACAGCAAAGCATCCTACCACCATAGTTGGGTGGCGGGGCTCGGACCATAGGATACAAAGCACGCCTGTGACAGCGACTAAACCACTGCGACACCACCTGGGACGTTTGACCCAAACCAAAGGGTGTATGATGCGATGTGATTGCCACAGGCTTAGGCTAGTGAAAGGCTCCGGTTGTGAATTCCCCAAGGAAATTCACCTGCCCGGACCTGAGCAACCTGGTAGTATTCCGTACACAAACAAATCGTGGGGCATTCTCTTTTCTTATAAGGATCATTGTACTATTTGTTCCGCACAGTCTGGACTCATGTTTGTGAAACAGACTACCATCTGTGTATACTTTGCTACGCAGTGTATTTGGTGGTGCTTATTCGGACGGTTTGGGCATCTGCATGTTCCCATATTTGTCATGGGTAGGAATAGTTTTGCAAGTGTCTAGAAATTTTTTGAGGTTGAGGATTGTCTACGTAGCGCCTATATTTTCTGTTTTACTCACCCGTGGTATTAACAGCAGAAACAGTAAACACCAGGATCTACTTACCTTCCACTAATGGAAACCGGCAACCTAAGATTCGCGACCACACAATCGTGTTATGAAGCCTGAGGATAGCACATCAGGAAATTCCGACAGGACGAGCATTAAAACAAAAAATGGATTACTCAACCAATGAAGCAATCAGCATGGATTATTCAAACATGGCTAAGAGGCTTACCCTATTCGATTGCAAAGCATCTCATGACGAATTACCACCTATTTGACCGGACTGTCTCACCAAGTTAGTGCTAATTTATCAAATTCCAAGATTAACCAGGAAATACAAAACGTGAGAGCAAATCAGTTCACCCAAAACGGCATAATCTGCCTTTAGTCCAATCAACCCCATCAGCAAGAGAACGGACAACCGCACAGTAACCATTATTTGCATACTGTCGCCAATTTACGACCTCTGTTTTGAACCAGTTCAGTGAATGAAAAACTTACCCGAAACAATCTAATGCAGAATATATCTCCGTATATGAAGGCTTGTGCTCTTCATGTCTCAGCTATCTCGTTTACACATTAATTGAATCTACCCATCATGAAACCACATCCGTAATAGGCGCTGCCTTTGATCCCCGTTCATTCAAATGCGTCGGTACAGAAGAGATACAAAACCATGATTTTTAAACATATATGCATTGTCACTTCGTTATTTTAATTTGCTTTATCAGAGAGTCAAGTTTTATATATATATATATATATATATATATATATCGTTACTCGCTAGCACCCTTTGATCTCCAAAAGTAATGGTCCAGCCTAATTTCATCCTTCAGTTTTGTTTTAAGGAGCGATGAGGGGTAATGCGGTTACCAACGTAGTTAACACACAAGTTTTGCATACATTGTTTATTCACATAAGATAACCATATTATTCAGACGCGGTAGGCTACGTGGAGTCTACGGCGAGCAGATTTCAGTTCTAGTGGGCGACAACTAAGCTTTCAGATAGAAAAATCACTCTTAGATGACAGGCCGTGAATAAATGAGTATTGCCTTACAAAAATAGCGACCACAATGCTAAAAGTCGTTGCGGTTTTCTGTCCTACAGACGGTCTCTGCATTAAAAATCATTGGTTCGTAGAAAAAGTCTCCCTGGATCACCAATAACTAAAGCCACCATCATAAATCGGTTGTCACACAGGGAGAAGTTGGCTGCACGAGAATTAGAAGTGCATCCCCGAGTGGCGCGGACGATGAAATCTTTGACCATAATCTCGAGATTCTCCATGAAGACGACATATCCTTACACAAGAAAAAGTCACCGGAGCACCAATGGGTTTGTGGGGCTAACGGTAAAACACGATAGGATTTAATTGAAGCTACAACGGTTCCAGCTGGCTTCCACTTGAAGCCAGCTTGGAAAGGTCTAGAGCTGAGGGTAAAGTTAGGAGTTTGCACCGCGTCCTTCACGGCTGCTTTTTAGCCACTTCCAATTGGCCAGTTTTCGATGTAAGTCCGGTTTCAAGAATGAGTTGGAATAACTTGGAACTTACTACCTTCACTGGACAAGCTGTTTTTCTCGTAACACGTCAAAGAGTATATTCTCATCTCGCCCTAAATTGACTGATAGCAAACTCGCAAAAGAAGCAGGTAAGAATTTTCCCGACAAAGCTGCAAATAAAACTCCAGGAATATATGCTGGGTGATCGCCCGTGTGTTAATGTGAAAAGCTTGTCAAACTCAAGGCTAGTTCTGTGNGTTGCAGGCACTAACTTTGCGTTGATGTAGAAGCTCTGCGGTCTGCATGGAAAAAACGGAATAAAAAATCGCCTGGTATGCCTTTGTAAATGTACCGTTCACATAAGCAGTGGTTATTCAAACAGAATGGAGCTCTTCCCGATAAAGACAAGCTTTATTTGATTACAAGCGACAGCAGCAGGTGGCCGGCAGTGAACATTTGGCAAACGAATCGAGTGTGGAAATAGCACCTCAGTGAGAGTTGATGGCAGAATTATTTGCAAGTGCTAGAAACCGACGTGTTGGTTGACAGGATCTCATGTGTCTCTATAAGAAAGATCTCAATGAACGTGTACAGATCGAACGGAATTTGGAGGCAGTTTGTTCCAATTGGACTGTGAAACATTAGGGCGTAGGTGAAACTAATAAGATGACTCCGAGGTGTTTTTTACATATTACAACGCAGAAAGAAATATCACTCGAAAACAGCCATCGCTTCCTCTTCAACGCGGTCCACATCCTCCGGTCGAGATGAACCCTTTCCGCGAAGTCGAATAGTATCCTTGCTCATATAAAATTCAGGCACGCGTTCAAGCGGAAGGAGGTCGGTCAGTTTCACAGTGCGCGATTGATATATATCCTTAGGAAACACTCGTCTATACAATGGCATCAACACGACATCTGACGCATTGATTGGACGATCAAACACGCATTTCATCAGTCCATGCGTCCCCACAGGCTCTTTAATGTGACCAGCAGCACCATTCTTTGTTTCGAGCGGAACAGCCTAAACGGAAGAAAAGCGAACACGGTGCACAGATAGCTAATGATTTGGAAGAGTTCGACTATTAATATGAGCGCAAAGACTAAAAAACACCTAAACAGACATTCACACTCAGACCTTATATCAAGTCTGTAGAATGCATTTCATCAGACCCTGATTTATCACATCCCAGTATGATGATGATGATGATGATTAGAATCAGTTTTTTACGAAGTGAAACTGACAATTTATAGCTCGCGAACAATATAAAGAGTGGGGTATCGTGTGGTGTGACCGTAGAGAGGAGGTGAATTGAGTCAAGCAAGTACCAAACGGAAGACATTTGGAGAACGGCCGTTGTGTATGGACAAGGGAGATCAATTTGAGGGCAGTAACTTACTTTGAAGTATTCTACATCACTTGGATTGAAGAACATGAAACGAACGACAGCCTGACGCTGCCGAATTTTGTATGGGTGACCGGAGAGAAAGATGCGCTTGATGATCAAGCGGGATGGGTCTACGGAATGGAGAGAACCCGTGGCCACAAGCTCGCCTATGTACGGCGCTCCAATGTTACCGTCTTCGTCCTAAAACGGATAGAAACAATGCTTTGGTTGTGAGGCTTTTAAAACGAAGATTAGAGTGTAAGACGAATACTATCACTCTTGATTGTCGAGTAGTGGGCAATATATTTACACAGCAATGATAGCCGATCTGGAACGAATACCGAGACAGAATTGATCTAACTTCAACACTTAACAGCTCAGAAACTGCTAGACTTTTTCAAACCATTCACGTCACCCCAATGTCAGGGAGGATCTAATTGTGGTCCAAAATCGTCAAGTGAAATGCCGCGATCATTTTTTTGTCAGCATCGATGGAAACTCTACGAAGTCATACTGCCAAAACCGACTTTTTTCAAGCTAACATTCGATAAAACACTGATTCGCTTCATAGTTCAACAGCAATAAACCTATGTAAAACAGTGAAATTAAGTCATTCTGCCGCGATTTTTGGGAATGAGCATCCCTTAACCGATTAAAATTAAAGCGTCTGTTTCAGTGCGGCCCTCGGTTGCGTGGTTTCAAATTCAGTTTGAACAATCATTAACCACGCATATTCGTGCGCCGGTTTTGGTTGCCCATTTGGATGAAGAGTAGGTAGGGGTGGTTTGCAGATAAAACTGTTGATCTGCTCGTTACGCTGAATCTGGGCAGTAGATCAATTAATTTGCCGTACAGGGTGTGATGTGATCAGCTACAAAAGACGACCTACAGATCCCTGAAGGAAAGTGACAATGTACAAATTGCATTCATAACGGTAATACGGGGCCAAGAGGCAGTGAGGTTACAAGTGGCCAGAACTTAATTGCAGGGCTCGAATATCAAATGCTGCGAACAAAAATGGTTTCAATTATTTCATCATCCGCAGCACAACAGTGCACCATAAAT